TCACAACATATTTTCTATTCAACTATTTTATCAATCTTTTAATAATAACCACTTTCGTTTCGGTAACGGTTGGTATATGTTTCGTTTTTTTTTGAATAAAGTTAAAATGTTCAAATTGCTGAATTAGTATTTTGATGATAATTTTCTTTCGATATTTGTTACATGGACATTTCTTCTTTCAGTTAAATGAATAGTTATATGATATTTTAACGTTTTCGTCTTTTTTAAAATTAGTTCAAATAGATATAGCGTAATTTTGAACTCTGTCTTCTCTTGAACTTATCATAATACATCCATATAAAGACACATTATCTCACCTGTCCCAACCATGACTGCAGTTGGTGTGGCCAGACCAAGAGCACATGGACACGCGATTGACAAGACGCTAATTGCATAACGAAAGGCAAGTTCGAAGACAACTTCATTTTTTGTTGCTTGATAGGTGTGTGACTGAGCATACTATATAATTAAAGTAATGATAAATCTTTTGATTTATATCCAATTATAGCAAATAAATAAATCGCATAATATCATTTGTTTTCGAGTTCTCTTTTTATATTTTTTTCCATTTAACTTATTTTTCTCGAGATATTCTCTTCATATGAAGTGCCGTATATCAAGTGATAGGATCGAAAATTTTTCAGACAAACTAACATACCGATGAGTAGTGTTTGATTTTTTCAAATATTGTGTAGCCAAGAATAATGTACATGATTAATACAGTCGTAGACACTGATACAACAAATGGTACAAAGTAGCTAGCAATCTTGTCGGCCAGCTCTTGAATAGGTGCCTTTGATGTTTGAGCATCTTCAACAAGTTTAATGATCTGTTTAAGTGCTGTCTCCTGGCCAACATGTGTTGCTCGTATGATGATTAAGCCAACAAGATTCTTTGTACCTCCAACAACTTGAGCACCGACTGTTTTGTCAACAGGCATCGATTCACCAGTGATAAGTGATTCGTCGCACGATGTTGTTCCGTCAATAATTCGTCCATCTGTGGGAATTATCTCACCGGGAAGAATTTTAAGAATATCATCGCGTTGAATGAGTTGAGCTAGAATGGTTTTTTCTTCGATGATCTTTCCCTTGTCATCGAGCTTGACAAGTGTACCTTGAGGTGGTTGAAGTGCTAACAGCTTCTTCAAGGCTTCCGATGTCTTGCCCTATAAATAGTAGCTCAAGCAAATATCTTCATTCTGTCCTATCTTTACTTTGGCAATGTGTTCAAGCCAACGGCCCAAAGAAACAAACATAAAGAGCACTATAAAACAATGACATATTTAAATCAAAGAAAAAATAAAAGATCATCATTTGTTACTGGGAGACACGTCGAAAAATGACATGGGACTGGGCATTTTAAGAATCATATTTACTATCACAACAATCAGCGAATAGACATAAGCAATTGTTGTTGCCAAAACAATGAGTACATCCATATTTGTTGTCTTGTGTTTCACTGCTCTGTATGCTTGCACATAGAAATATCGTCCGCTAATGATCTAAAAAAGAGGCAATCACAAGACACGAAAGTCAAAAAGGATTGACAAGCAAACTCTGACTTGCACAGGAGTAGCCAGCAAAAACATAACAAGATTTTCCACGGATAAGCCTGCTGTAATATGCGGTGCTACTGCATGATCTGCATATTTGAACATGAAAACAAGCATGATGATCATCGCTGGTACGCCGAAGACGGCAGCGAGAATAAATGAATTTCGCCATCTAAAAATGTAGAAAAAGAGATTGCGTCAGTTGTCTTAACAATCATATGATGTATTTTAAAAAATGGATGATTATAAGTTTATAGGGAACAAAAGATATGTTCCAATATTTAATGAATAGTTAAGCTTGTCGACGTCGTAGAGAGCATCTCAGAATCATCTTGTTTCAAATAGAAAAATCTGCTTCATCTCAATTTACATTAATGTATCGCATCTTTTGTGTATCATCAGTCGACCGACAGATAAAATTTCGATGAGACTTTGTACTTAAGATAGGCATTATGTGTTAATATTATTTCGCTCAAAAATTATTAGAAACTACGATAAAATCGAAGTTAAGCATTTTACTCTTATTCGCAATAATGATCTCAGAACTTTAGGAAATTGTCTATGTTCCTTCATCAGAACTGGAGGACATTTTTTGAGTTCTACTGAATTTGATGATGATTTTCATGGATACAGCCCCAAACAATGGTGGCTTCACGACAGTCCTTCTAATCTTTAAAATAATCTATTTGTTTATAATTAATTAAATTATCTTCCTGTTAGTCAATGAATCAATTTTATTTAAATAATAATTAAAATTAAATATTAGATTAATATATATTTGTTTATTTATTATTTCAAAATCTTTTGAAAAATTTGTTTTTCCTTCGTCAATTCATTTGTATTTACATTAGGATTAAGATTAAGACTAAATTTACATATTACTCTTTGCAATACGTATTTGCCAAGTTTTCTCTTTTCTAATAGTGAAACGGAAGACGAAAACATGCAGGTTATATCGTTTAGTATTATCGTCTTGTTATTCTATTTTATTTTCAGAAAAAAAGAAAAAGAGACAAGGAAAATAGGTAGACACGTATTGTCAAGAGTCATATGTAAATTTAGTCATAATCTTAAAGTAAAAATAAATGAATTGACGAAGGAAAGTAAGATTTTCCAAAATGTTTTCCAATAATAAATAAACAAATGAATATCAATTTAATATTTTATTTTAATTATTATTGAAATAAAATCAATTCACTGACTAATACATAGAGAATTTAATAAATTATAAATATTTACAATAGCCTTCTTTAACATTTCCAATTATAAAATGATGTATAGGAAGTCTTGCAAAGATACATCAGATTTATCTGATGTGTGATATTATTAGGTTTATAAGTCTTACATGACTGTATACACAAAAGTGTCTTTCAAGTTATAGGAAAACCATATCATGATGTCTTTTTGCGTTCACAAGTTATTCAAAAATTAAGAAACTCTACAAAAACGTGCAGAATGGTCTACGCTGGTGCTTGAATGTTCAAAGATCGCTTCCGTTCGTTTCATAAAGGTTAAAGTCCATCATTCTTGTATTTTGACAGGAAAATATATATGACACACTATACTCATCACACCGATAAAAAAAAAGGCATGAAGTAAATTCTGGTTGTATCGACTTTCATATGATCATACAGTTCTCGATCGTAATTACATGGCGATACAATACTTGCAACGAAATTCTTTTCTTGGAATAGCAATAACAAGTTTATTCTTGACAAGTTTATATATTTAGCATGGTTGTTGCAGAATTAGGATCGTAAAATGTAGTGTGACAAAATTAGGAACAGGAAAAAAATCTGTTGCGCACCTTTAATTTTTCTAGCTATGAGAGAATGGAGCAGACAAGTTCGATTTATCTGAAACATTATGATTGGATGTACATTAATGAGTCAAATCAGATAATAAGTCTTGTTTAATTTCAAACAGACTTAATCTTTTCCTTCAAATCGTTTTTCTTTAGAGAACTCAGTCTGTTTTCCATAGCAATGCCAAAATCCGAAAAAAATGCACAATACACGAGATTTCGAAAAAGCAAAATATAAGGAAAACTTAATGTACTTCTTTTGTCAAGTCTCTCATTAAAAGCCGTTTAATTAGCTTTCAATCATTCATACATGAATAGATGCCAAAATGTTTGTTTTATCCTAGAAACTAAAATTCAACTCTTTACGACGTCGACAAGCCGAATCATTAATTAAATACTAATTTTTTTTTTCTTGGCAGACTTAGCATCAACTGCTGTATTTATTTACCTGCGTGTTACTCGTCGATGCAATCGTGCCAGATCTTCTGATTTGATATTTTCGGCGAGTACCGATGCCGTAAAGCCAAGACCCTACAGAGAGAAATAATATGGCATGAAATATTGGAGAATTATTATGTAATTTACGTCAATATGATTGATGATGTCTCGCGGTCCGATTAGACTTGCATCATACTTGATCCGCCCTTTATGAGTGAGAAGAACCACATCGACCGATTTAATACCTGGCACCTTAGCCATATGTGTTTTAATATTGATGATGCACGAATCGCACGTCATACCCTCGATCTTGAAAGAAACAAAGATAGATCATCAGATGCACGAATATTCTATTACTTTCTTATACATACATTGAGGTCGATTACTTCGATACCGCGCGTCACTGTGTCGAGAACCTCGGCTTGAAAACCAAGGTCATTGATTAGACTAGCAATCTGTGATGGTAACAGATATTCTGGATCATATTTAACTTCAGCACGTTGGGCGAGCAAGGCCACTACTATCGAGTGAATACCTATAGCAAAACATAAAAAATATGGAATAATTTGAATTTATTGTATGATTTCATATCAAGTCTTACCTTCAATTTTCGAAATATTACGTTGAATTCTATCAACACAGGATGCACAGGTCATACCAAGAACATTTAAGAAACATGTTTCTAAACCATCGTTCTCTTCCATACGTTTACTCTGCGTCTCATGTTTTCGAGGAGACTGAGGCTTGAACACGACCTTGCTTGATATATCTGAGAGAAAATTTTGCGAATTATACGATGCTGTGATCAAAATTTACGTGCTAACTAAATACATATGCTTGATTATATGAACTGAATTTAACCTGATTTTTTCTCTCTGGTATTTATCTATTGTCGACTTTTAGAAGTGACGAGATGTTTTAAAACGTAAGTTATTTTAGTAGTGTAACTACTTTTCTGACGAAATATGAAAATGCTATAACGTTGAAAATGTTTTAAAATTCTTAGAATTATCCTTCATTTGGATGACGACAAGAAGTTGAATTAGAAATAGACTAATTTGACTAAAGTAATTTCTGCACAAAATAAGAAAAGACATAGATAAGACGATAATGGAGTGAAAATTCTATTAAATTATCTTCATGTCACGATTAGTCGTAGAGTGTTTTTTTTAATTTACAACCAAGTTTTTAGTAATTCATAGTTAGAGTATTTATTTTTATGATACTTTCAATTCATTCAAAGAAGTTAGATTTGAAAAGAAAAAGCTATTTCATGCTTCTTTATCGTCTTCTCAATACTCTATTCAAATTTCCTCCCACTTTCATCTTTCTTTTTGTTAGTGTTTCTTTTTACGAAAAGCCGCCGAGAAATGTTAGTTGTTTTGTTTCTAATTAAAGCTCGAATATATGTAACCTATTCGTTTGATGAATACTATACTTGAACATATACAGTTTTTCGTTCTCTCTAAACATGATTTGCTAGAAATATCGAGAGTAATAATAATTTGGCATTCTTATCATTTCCTGAATGTCTTTTCTTATCTTTTCCTATCTTCTGTTCCTTCAACAATCAAATTAATGTGTTGTAAAAATGTTTATCTATTTCTCTTTCCTTTTATGTTCCTTATCTCTTATTGATGAACTTATAATGCCACAATGAAATTAAATCGAAAAGTAAAGCAAAGATATACGTTGAAGTTCCATTTAATATATGTTTTCACAAAAACCTTGATACCTTTTCTGCTTATAGATTAAAAAATTCTTTTGGATAAATATCAATTATTCCTGCACAATCTCCAAAATTATTTGTTAGATGGCGCTTATAGATATAAATGATACTTGTAAATATATTTCTGATAAATATTGGATTTTACGCAAAAGGTACATTATTTATTAGAAATGTCATACTATATGAACTAGTTGAGGTAAGCTACATAGGAAATTACTCTATTGATTATCGACACTACTGATATGAATCAAAATATTTCAAATGGACAACTGATAGTATCAACGATCGATAAAGTGAATCTGAATGTAGTTGATCTCAACTAAAGTGGTCTAAATGAAAAGCTGATGAATTGAAGCAAACTAACGAGAAGATATACTCTGAATATTTCTCACAGAATCAATTTCAAACTATCTATTTTCATCGATATTTCTGCTCGGATGACAATCATGATCATATTCACTGGTCAGATTCACATTTTAAGATGCTAGCATAGCTAAAACTTTGTTTTTTTTCCTCTGAAAAAACCTTTTCCTATCCGTTTATCTATATTACTTATTCTATCACATTTAAATTATTATAATGCACGTTTCCAAGTATCTTCTTTGCTGGAAATTCTAAAGATTCTAGGCAAAGTATAGTAGTCCGTACAGCGAAAGTCAAAGTATAGTCAATACACATATGCCTCCTCTATTAGATTTATCCTTTAACCTCTTGTTTGAATAGAATGAGATACTTAAATATTTCAACTATACGTTGAATTATGCTGTACTGAGTACCATATATCTTTTCTAAAATTCTCAGAATTTTTGCTAAAGAAGTTACTGGAAAGCGTACAATAGAATGTGTATAATATATATGATGAATAAGTAATATGGATAAATTGACAGGAAAGATTTGCCAGAAAAAATACATTTTATGCCACTAAAACCATCACAAAGAACAAATTTTCCAACGGCTTCTTTGCATTTTTAATGAAAAAACAACATACTTCAACGCGTTTGAAAAATGCGTTTAAAGTTTAGCAAGAACATAAGAGCTGAGAAAAAAAGCGCTTAAATGAAGACTTTTTCAATTCATTTTTCAAGGGTGATATTTCATATAGTATTGTACAGGAGTGAAAAACTTCTGGTTACCCCAGTGACCTGTTCTAATAATATCTCTCAAAAAAAAAAACAGATAGATATTCACGTCATAAAGACTTCATTTTTACATCATATTTCAATATAAAATTGGGTATGAATGATTCTTAATATAGGTCGATTAGTTTCTTTGATATTTGTATCAACATATAAAATAATGCTAATAAGTTTAAAATTCATCAAAAAAGAGGCGAGTAACCAACCTTCTATAGGTGTCTGACAGGTTTTAATGCTTTTGTTGTCGCATGCAATGGTTGCATCTTTTACTGGATGTTGTTTTGATGCTAGAGAAAAACAACGAAATGAAATTATGTGATAATTGTCTAGAATAGAAAGTATCGCGATCGATTTTTGCCGCAATGACACATCATGTTTGATTCTTAATATGAATTCAATATTCCCAAATATTCGTTGTCAACTTGCAGATCTGAAAGAATTTTTCACATCAGAATAATGTCAGAGACATAAAATTTAAAGCATTTGACGCTGCTATCTATCAATGAGCAGCTCTATGGTTAGAGACTACAGTGTGACCACCAAAATATTCAGTTGTAAATCAAACAAACGAACCTTTGCCATTCTGAATAATGTAACTGTTGGCGATTGCTGTTTGGAAGCCGAGCTTTTCAATTTCTGTGATAATGTCGTCAATTTTCAAAATACTCGGATCATAGATGATAGTAGCGAGTTTATCTTGAAATGTCAGATGAATGTCAAAAGCACCTGGCAGATTTTCGACAGTGTCGCAAATATTTGATACACAGGAATTGCAATGCATGCCTTCAATACGAATTTCAACTTGAGCTGTTTCGATATTTGCTTGTGAGTCTGAGGCAATAGGTTGTGCCGAATAACCGAGCCGTTGAATGGCTGATAGCAATGCAAACCGATCAAGACGACGTGTATCAAACAATAGCTTAGCTTGATCATCGTCCACGAAATAACATGATAAGAGTCCATCAATGCCATGATATAGTCGGTTCGATACATAATCATGATTAGCTTCGTACACACCAGCTAACTGTACTTCAATTTGAGATATGTGCGGTCCATGGGCATCATATACAGCCATCGCACGATACCTAAATAATACTATATAGTTCTAGCTTTCTGTAGCATCTAGAGGGTTGCTCAAATTGATCGGTTATTTTATGATGAGCTTTTCGACAAATGGTGAAACCAACTCAGGTGATCAAGGCTATTGAAGTTAACACGGTAGAAACTATAGCATCAGAATAGTTGATATTCCAACAATGATAAAACTTAAAAAGCATAGCATTCTTAACAATAGTTCTGTTAACCACGTGCACAAATTATCATTTTAGTGTTGCATATTATTTTGTTTATTAAATATATACTCTTCAATATTTTAATTATAGAGAATAAACAGTTGAGCATTTTTTATCTGGATATTCAAGTAAAAATTTTTTGAAAACGTAACGATTTTATGATTATTCGTGTGATATCTTTGACCGTGAAAAGACGTTAAAAATATTATTTCAACGATAATTTGCGCTTGTGTAGCGTTAAAATGCAATCAAATAGCTTACAATAATGCATTTTAGCATAATAGAAATCTCATTCATAATTGAAAAAAAATATTTTTGAGGATTTACAATGAGACTTTTCTTTATGAAATACCCCTCCTATGTATGAGGAGATATTTCTTTTCGCATAAATATGCCTCGTTGCTTTTCGAAGCAGACACAAAAGATTCCAAAATCACTCTCAACGTTTATTAAATCGCTCTTTTTCTGTAAATTGTTTCTTCGTAGACAACCATATTCATTCAAATTAGCTACAAACGAATAACTACGCTGGTGGTACATTTTAATTTAAACCAATTCTATTTATACGAACCAATCCTCAACATAAGCAACTAACTTAAATAACTTTGACTGAATACCCATGTGTTCGAATGTGATCGAATTGCGACGCAGTTACGCGTAACTGCGATCGCACTGTGACCCGTAGTTGCGGAAAATTGCGGCACAGCTACGCGTAACTGCGTCGCAGTCGATCGTAGTCGAACATATGATTTTTTTGCTGCGATCAATGCGCCGCAGTTACGCGCAGTTATGATCAAAATTTCGCAGTTACGCGCAACTGCGACGCAGAATTGGCTCTGCGCGTAACTGCGAAGTAGTTGTTAAAAAAGTGGCGACATGGGTAGGATTTAATTTTCTTTCTTTAAGCTATTTATACCCCTGGATAAAAGCCTTTTCCCTTCTTTGTTTTTATGCTATCATACTTTGCATCAAATTTATGATCAGATAAAGATATGACAGAAGTCTTTTATTTCAGTGTTTTCTATACCATATTGAAATAAAATTCTTATGTCATATCTTTATTTGGTCATAAATTTGATGTAAAGTATGAGAATATAGAAATAAAGAGAGAGAAAGACTTTTGCCCGAAGGTGTATTTATATAGAACATAAATGCCACCAGTGATAAACCGTATTCTTTAGAACAAATAGTGCCGTTATAAATCGCACAAAAATCTTTGGATATGATGTGTATATTGTGTTGTAAGAACACCCTTCTAACCAACGATAGTTTTCTTTTTTTTGCATTAAAACATTATCCGCTTCTTCTCCATTGTACGAGCGTGACATAAGCAAAATAAAATGCACTTTTTTTGACGATAGTGCCCTCAGAAAAATTTCAATATCTCAAGAACGGAACGATATTTTTTTAAACGACTTGTGTCAAAATTCTTAGAAGTCTTGCCTCTACAATATATATTAAATTGAGCAGGATCGAACGATCCCCATTGAGCAGCTTTTGTGGAAACCGGTCGTGACTTATGTGGACTGACTCATAAACAAGGTAGTGATATTTGGTGCTAACACTTGTCCATGCAAATTTCCAGATCCCAAAGTTTTTATTGCATATTTAAGTAGTGTCAGATTAGTAGTCTTTGGGAAAAAAATCAGCAAATTCTATGACGCTTTGTACTGGAGTAGAAGTTTTTTCAAAGATGAACAAGAAAGTTCGAGATAGAGCTATATTTTGCTAGAACCCTCAAACGGTTCGGTATGACACCTTTTTTTTTAGAGGGTAGACGACGCACCTTTTCGTTTCTTAATGCATGAGTATACCATGATTCGTAACAAAATGATAGTGTGAAAAATTCTTGCTTTTTGACGTTTACTTTTACGCAAATGTATCGAAAAAATATACATTATAAGTGATCACATTAGTTTCACGTAATGATAAAGCTCATGACGCATATATGCTTTTCTGGTCACCAAAGAACTAATCAAGTTCTCGACACTTTTCTGTGTATCAAACTGAGAAAAAGTGTAAAGATATAATGTGGAGATTACTGGATGGTTTACTCACTTATCAAATGTTAGCCAATCTATGAGCATGCGTTCAGTGATCGTTATTGTCGCAGTGAGATCACATTCAATTATGCAAATACCATCCGTCGACATTCGACATCCGATTACACCGGACAACAAACGTCCTCGTTGACTTACTATAGATGCACTTGATCCGTCTGACACACCATCAATGAATAGTCGAGTCTCCATAATAGGCTTGAGTTTCGGCATCGTGTTCAGTATTCAATAGCAGTTCTAAAAAGAAGCATACAAATGAGTATATTTTGATAATACAAAGATATGGGCAAAGTCATGTGACATCATTCATTGTCTTATCATGTAAATAACCTTTTCTTGTTGCAGATGTCGCACAATACAAAGGTCGAAACATTGTCCGATAACAGAGAGAAGAATTTGCTGTTCTTTTGTCTTCTCAATCTGGAAGAAACATTAAGTTATCAAATCTTTGTCCGTTCGTTGTTCTTTCATTTTATTCGAATAAAGTAGTGACGATTATCATACAAAAAGTAAAAATATTGACATTAGATAAAAGGTAAGAAGATCAGCATCTCTTTTGTTCATTATTGCTATCGAAAATATACCAATATTCTATATGTTGTGCAACAAAAAGGATTTGTTTATGAAAACGCAATTTTCTCACACAATCAAAATACTTAAATATGTACGTGTAAAAAAGAATATCTGTGTCGTCTCTCACAGTTGTTATAACATGATTAAATCAAGATTTTTACGAAAAAAGCAGGAACATATCTAGCATTTAAATATAGTGAAAGAGATGGTAAACAACTTTTCAGCATAGATGTAAAAATAGTTCTCCACCGCTCTTTCTCTATACAGCTTTTCGGAAAAATTTCTTGCAGCAAAAAGTTTCTTTTATTTATTACAGTCTACACTTACGTGACGATAGAGTGTTCGTATAACAACTATCAATTCAATATTTGTTCCAGAAGAAAATCAAGTTAATGCCAGCCAATATGGTAGCATTTTAAAATAGAATTTTAGAAGTTTGACCCGAAAAATTTACAATTGAAAAAATGACAACTCATTTTTTCAGAGAAACAGCAACAAAAATAATAATATTTCTTATTTTGTAGTCAGTCACAGAAAATGGCTACTCTTTTACTTGTCATCTTGAAAGTTGAGTATGAATCTGAAAGAAATACAAGCTTTTCTTTTCCTCAATCTCATTCTATACCGATGAAAACATGGATTATTGTGTAAACTGAAATAAAGAGAAGAAGAATTATCAAATACAAAATTATTGAAAAAAATACTATGCGAACTGAACCATTTTTCAACAATACAGGAAACTTGTGTCTGAGAGAACTGTTTTCTACGTAATCTTCATCCAACAGTTTATAGTACATCTATTGAAAGATCACTTCCTATTGAAGTTTACGAAGATGCAGTTGAGATGACTCACTGACACTTTACGCCTCTAATAAAAGTCATGATTCTTCTGTAATCTGTAACTAAAGCTTTTCTTTTAATCAATGACATCAGTATATGAAATATTTTCTTACAGATATTTTTTATTGATATTGATCAACACTTCCGCATTATTAGCGGAGATTGTTTCTTTATCATCTATAAATATATATAATTAACTTCGTGTATAATTATTAAGATTATATAAAACAAACAAAAGCAAAGAAGTCTTTTTTGAGTCTACTCCATTTTGTTACTGCGACTCTTAGTGGTAACAGTAACACTTTCTCGCACATTGATGAACTTATAAAGATCGAAAAAATTGTTATAAAGTGGCATAAGTTCTACACGAAGTATGCCATCGCAAACATCGATCTAAAAAAGAAAGATATAGTTATTTGAGACTTACGAGTTGTGCAGTCTACCATAATGGAGACTTTCTCCAATTCATCATGCACCTATTGAGTCGATATTGTTGTCGGTAGAAGATAAATTAGAGCATTTTTTTAGACGGATTTCTAGGCGTGAGTGCTCTGAATAAACAAAATCCCTGGTTTAAAATAAGAAAAAAAGCTAAACGCAAGGATAAACTAGTTTCTGATACACGATGATACATTCTCTTTATTAACTCTTTTCATTGCCAGCAAAATAGATATCACACGATTGTTTAGTTGACGTTGTTCTTCTGAGTATTGCCAATGATTTGCATGATCGTCCTTTTGTAAGATTCTTTTCATATACTCTAATGTCAGTCTGCGGAGACCACTGATCGATCAAAATAAGAAATCGAGTGCTTATTATATTGTCTAGAACTTCTCGAATTCAATATTCTACAAGTGAGTTACTTAATTTCTTAGACTTACTGCAAGCTGTCACTACATTTGGTGCTGAAAAGCTTGTTTTTGTGGTTCGAATTCGACCCATCGGTCCTTGAGGACAAATGAAAACAGGACTAATCAGATGACCCTGTGGCGTGGATGATCGGCAGTACTGTGTAGGAATGCCTTGTGGCATTCACAGACTTCACTGACGAGGGAACCTCTTCAAGTAATAAATCGCTTTTCAGATGAGTCTTACCTTATTAGGTAGAATCTATTGAGGCTAGAAAAGCCCAAAATGATTCGTGCTCGTGGATCTTTCTTCTTGAGTTATGATCATTTTACCGATTATTTTCAATAAAATGCTGTGGTCCTGCTCAGGCCACCTTCAAAATCGATTTTCGAATTTCGACTTTAAACTTTGTACAAATAAAGTTCTCAATGGGACTAATACAGAGTGTCCAGAAAGTAGTGTCCTGCGGGAACGACTTTTTTCCCTGATTTTCCCATTCCCATTTAGACTCAGGGAATGGGAACACGGGAATGGGAACAGAATTAAAAATTGACGTTCCCAAAATTCTTTCTATCTTATTTCAATACACATAAAAATATTTCTATCTGATAACTGTTTATTTTCAATAACTTTTCTTATTCATATACAATTAACACGAAGTATATATAGGAGAAGTCGAAGAGCGTCTCCGTCTGTTTAGACAATGGACAATAACACGTCAGTTAAGAAAAGAAGGTCAGACGAACAAGAAGGCATTGGTTAAGCAGGTGTTCATTCGTATATGCACTATACATTCAGGGTGGTGTTCCTTTTCATTAAAAACGTGTTCCATCGTCTAATAAGAAAATGTATAGTCAACATAGTGTTCATCATATAAAGAGAATATTCCTCTTACGGCAAAGTGTTTCCCTCCCTTCCCCCAAATAGAAAATAAAAAAAAAATTATAAATAAATATTAAGGTTATCTACAACAAAAAACAAATGATTTATAAATAAATAATCTCAATATTTGTCTATAATTTTTTTAATTTTCTATTTGGGTGAGGGGAGGGGAACACTTTACTATAAGAAGAACCTTCTCTCTATATGATGAACACTATGTTGGACTATAAATTTTCTAATTAGACGGTGGAACACTTTTTTAATGAAAACGGACACCAGCTTGAATGTATATGTATAGTGCATATACTCAAGAACACCTGCTTAACCAATGCCAACAAGAACAACAAAACAGAAAAAGAAAAGAAGTGAAGCACTATGTAACAGCGTCGCGATGCGCAAAACGTGATGTCGCGAGAAACTGGTATACATATATGTCAATGACACTTTCGCATAGATGAACAGAGCCTTAGAAAACCTTATGGGAATTATGGGAATGGGAACAAAAATTTTTTTTTAGGGAATGGGAATCAGAAAAAGTCGTTCCCGCAGGACACTACCAGAAAGTAACAAAACAAAGGAAAACTTGAATACATATCTCTGCTATATTTTGACCAAATAGGCTAATATTTTTACCACTGATAAAGGAGTAGACATAGCTCATATTCATAAGGGAAACGTTATCAAAAATTGTTTTGAAGTAATACAACTAACGCCAACAAAAACTGTAACATTTTCCGAGTTGTGAAGCAAATAATATATTTATTCACTTAGCCAAGAATAAACGACACCTAATTTTTTCGATTAATCAATATGAATATACTAGAAAGAACAAAAAAGTAAGAGATGCGTGTCAAAGATGCATGACAGGAGAACAAAAAGAAATGTTTTTAGCTTATTTGTAGAGTACCGTTAGGGTATGGTATTATAATAGTGACAAGTTACGAAACACATTTCGTTGAAAAACATCTTAGTACTACACAACAGTAATCACACAAATAAAGCTTCAGCTTCTGAATGTCTAACAAAGTTTTCTCTAAGGATTGCTAAAATATCTCAAAATATAATAATCCGACAATTCAAATTCAGAGTGTTGGTTGAGTTGAGTTAGACAAAGATAAACTGTTCTTCCGTCTTTTTGTGTATTATATAATAGTGGACTATCATACAGTGACGGATCCAGGATTTCCAGTATGCTGGATCACAGCTTCAGAGCATGAGACTCAGATAAAACTTATGGCGGATGATATTGAAACCAAATGATGAGTTTTTATCAAAAAAGTTTTGCAACCGGAGTTTGGAAAAAAAAACTTTTTCTTGAGTCCCTGAGATTTTTCTTTTGCTGTTAGTAGTATTCCGTTTTTTATGATTCAATGGTAAGTTACATTGCATTTCATCGTCAGATTTCAAATTTCATCTAAAAACATGGATCCGTTCGGATGTTATAACGTTTCGAATTTTTTCTACATGCTGCTTAAATTTTAGCAAAAATTCAAAACGTTATAACTCCTGAACGGATCCATGTTTTCAGATGAGATTTGAAATCTGTCGATGAAATTCAATGTAATTTACTATTGAATTCTAAAAAAAGGAATACTACTAATAGCAACAGAAAAATCTCAGGGGCTCAAGAAAAATTTTTTTCCAAACTTCAGTTGGAAAAATTTGTTGATAAAAACTCATCATTTGGTTTCAATATCATGCGCCATAAGTTTCATCTGGGTCCCATGCTCTGAAGCTGAGATTCAGCATACTGAAAAATCCTGGATCATAGATAGAACTGGTCTAATTTTTTTCAGACCGATATCGGCACCGATCCGGAATTTTTAGACCGGACTGGACTGATTGGTATACCGATTTGACCAGTCTACGGGTAGAATGATGGG